GCGTCTGCCGGTGTGTGTCTGGAGTTGATCGGGGGGCGTGCTCAGGATCTGCCTCTCCTGTGCAGCTGCGGGTTGTTTCCAGTGATTCCTGCCTACGCAGCTGCATCCTATTCTCTCATCAACCTGCACTACTAATTCCTGGGCATGGCTCTCCACCGGCGCCAGATCGTTGTTCTTACTAGAGCGGTAACTTAGCTCACCAGTAGAGTTTAATTGTCTTTGTCTTCAGCCTGGCTCTTTACTCTCCTTAACCTGTCGTTTGTTTTGTCTTCAGTTCAGACATACCTCCCAACCTTCCTGCCTGCCTGCCTGCCTCAGCCTCTCCTTCCTCCGGAGCCGACTAGCCCACTCTGTTCCTTTTCTTCAGTTGTTTTCTGGACTAAGACAAATTGAATTTTTATTAAAAGCATTTTTGTTTCTTCCACTCCCTTAGTCATGTTTTGTTTCTCTGAGTGCTGGGTTTAACCATAGCCTAACAGTAAACAGTTGTGCCCTTATGTCAAAATTGTGCCATTAAAATATATATATATATATTTCAGTGTGTTTTTATTTTGGACAGAAAAAACACCTAGCACTCTCCAAGTAAATTATGGTTAATACAAATATTTTTTGTTTATTTGTATACTAATGCCCATAGTACACCCAGTGGTCATGAAAATGTATTATATTTACTTTTTTTTTAATTAAGTATTCAAGATTCCCCATACACATCAAGATTAAAGTAATACTCATTTCCTAGTGCACTACTTTTGACCAGGACTCATTGGGCTCTTGTCAAAAGTAATGCACTATGTAGGGAACAGGATGCCATTTGGGACAAACCCAGAGATGACTCCAAGGCAAGCCTACTGTTCCACAGCTTTGTCTATACAATGCCTTCAGAAAGTATTCAACCCCCTTGACTTTTTCCACATTTTGTTGTGTTACAGCCTGAATTCAAAATTGATGAACCTACACACAATATCCCGTAATGTCTAAGTGGAATTTAAAGCTGAAATGTCTGGAGTCAATAAGTATTCAACCCATTTGTTATGATAAGCCTAAATAAGATCAGATCACATACAAATCACAGAATAAGTTGCATGGACACTCTGTGTGCAATAATAATGTTTAACATGATTTCTTAAGGACTACCTCATCTCTGTACCCGACATATTCAACCACAAAGACCAGGGAGGTTTTCCAATGCCTCACAAAGAAGGGCACCGATTGGTACAGTAGATGGGTAAAAAAAAGTTATTCACTACAAAGTCCTTCCTAACTCAGTTGCTGGATAGGAAGGAAACTGCTCAGGGACTTCACCATGAGGCCAATGGTGACTTTAAAACAGTTACAGAGTTTAATGGCTGTGATTGTAGAAAACTGAAGATGGATCAACAGCATTGTAGTTACTCCACAATAATCACCTAAATGACAGTGAAAAGAAGGAAGCTTTTACAGAATACAAATATTCCAAAACAGTAATCCTGTTGGCAACAAGGCACTAAAGTAATACTACAAAGAATGTGGCAAAGAAATGAACTTTTTGTCCTGAATACAAAGCATTATGTTTGGGGCAAATCCAACACAACACATCACTGAGTACAACTCTTCATATTTTCTAGCATTGTGGTGTCTGCATCATGTTATGGGTATGCTTGTCAATGGCAATGACTAGGGAGGTTTTTTGGGGATAAAAAGAAACAGAATAAATCTGAGCACACGCAAAATCCTAGAGGAAAACTTGGTTCAGTCTGCTTTCCAACAGACACTGGAAGACAAATTCACCTTTAAGTCAAACTCTAACTAGGGCAAATTTACATTGGAGTTCCTTACCATGACAACATTGAATGTTCCTGAATGGCCTAGTTACAGTTTGACTTAAATTGGCTTGAAGATCTATGGCAAGACTTGAAAATGGCTGTCTAGCAATGATCAACAACCAACTTGACAGAGCTTGAAGAATTTTAAAAAGAATGATGGCCAAATATTGTACAATCCAGGTGTGCAAAGCTCTTAGAGACTTACCAAAAAAGACTCACATTTGTAATTGCTGTCAAAGGTGTTTCTAACATGTATTGACTAAGGGGGTGAATACTTATCTAATCAAAATATATTAGTGTTTACAATTAAATCCATTTTAAATCGCACTTTGTAATGCAACAAAATGTGGAAAAAGTCAAGGGGGTTGAATACTTTTCGAAGGCACTGTACTAGAGCCCAGTCTGGTTTTACCAGGGTACGTTTAACACCACAACATTACAAAACATGCCTTGTCAGAAATAAACGTGAAAGATCACTGAGATGTTGCAGAGTTACTTCCAAATGTTTCTTGATAAACATTCCTCTATACAGTACTATAACAGTCTACAGTTTTGCAACGTGTGCATTAATGTACAGTTTTGTAACGTTGCGATGCAGAACTCTCCCTGTGTGTTTGTGCTTCACTACAGTGTGACTGAGCCTGGTGCCTAAGAAGTAGGATCGCAAAATCAATAAATTCCCTGGTTTTCCCGAAATTCCGGTTGGACGATTCCCGAAGTCAGGAGGGAATAAGCAGGAAATCCGAAATCCTCCAACCGGATTTCTGGAAAACGGGGGAATTTATTGAAAGTTCCAGGAATTTTGCAACCCTACTAAGGAGGTAGGTAGTAGTGCTTGCAGCCAGGGCCAAGTCACATAACAGGCCAAGACCCGTACAAAAGGGCACCTTTTTCCTATTTTTAGTGCACTCGTTTTTACCAGGGCCCACTCGGCACTATATTAGGAACAGTGTGCCATTTGGGATGCAGACTTAGACCAGTACAGAAAGGCAGATCATCATACAAGACTAACGTCAATCTACTGCTGTATCCCAAATCAACCATAGAACAAAACGTGAAAGATCTCCTTATTTTCTGTGTTTATCCCCCCTAAAAAACATTTTAATTTCCCCATAGGCTTTGGCCAACGAGCCATGGCGGAGTTAGTGCCTACAAAAAGACACCATTACTATTGCTCTCTATAAAGACTGACTGATCTGATAGACTATGTCATCTGAAAGGATTTAATAGGACAGCCGGTCCCAATTCACTCCCCACTCCTTCTCCTTGGCCCTAACCATTCAATGTTTGCAGATGTGTACGGTGGAAGCAATACGATCAAAGCTCCACCACTGTAAACATAGAATGGGATGGGGACGAATTGGGACTGTCTGGGGGGGTTGATTTGGGCTTCAGCATCAATTCCCACAATGCAACGAGAGGCCTTGCAGTAACACCTCTGTACATAGAAAATAAGACGGGCATAAAGAGATAGGGGATCCATCCCAAATGGCACCCTATTCCTTACATAGGCTCTGGTCAAAGGTAGTGCACATTATAGGTTTACAGACGTAGTATCAATAGTATCATTAATAAAAGTCACATTTTGTTGTTCAGCAGTTTACCCATGTTATCATCCACATTATTTTAATTCATTTAAATATCAACTCTATTTACAGAAGTTTCAAAGACCCAAGGCTTTAATCCTAAATGGTTTTGCCCTAAAAGTCTAAATCTTATTTCATTCTCTTCTATCGTCTGATAAAATGTTTCCCTGCAGTTCTTGTTTTATACAAAACATATCATTATTAGCACTACTATCAAAGATTGTAGTTTAAACAAGATTATTATTTCTTTGTATTTGAGACATTTAAATTGAAATAGGCTAGTTGTCAGAGTGCAGCCATCCTTCTAAGATGATTGTCGTTAATATAAATGGCACCCTATTCCCTATTTAGTGCACTATTTTTGACCAGGGCCCATAGGGCTCTGGTCAAAAGCAGTGCACTATATAGGGAATAGGTTGCCATTTGGGACACAGATAAGGTAAGATTCTATCTCAATTCGTCTTTCCTCGATTCCTCACACCACCTTTCCTCACCTTCGTCTCAAAATGCATTGGAGAAAAAGGTCAGAAGGAGGAAGAGCCAAATACGGTTGAGAAGGAGATGAGGAGTTAGGATGTGAGGAATCATGTAAAATACAAATTGAGATGGACCCCAACAGTAGACATTAGGGGTGTAACGATTCGTTTTAACAACGATTCGATTTGTATCACGATTCGTGGTTGTCGATACGATTCAAGGACGATATTGGTTCATTTAGAACGATACGATCTGAAACGATTCAGTGACTTGAAATCGATTCAATAACCTTTTAGCCAAACATTCAACCAGTGTGACTGAAATAAATACCTGGATACTGGACAGTGCAGGTGAAGTTTCCTAGATTCCTGTTTCTTGTAAGGACCGCAATGGTGGCTTGATAATTACTCGCTCGTCGGCTTCTCCTCTGTCGTCCGCCATGCTATGTTTTGTTGTCTTGGCGCCTTTGCGCTGCTGCTGGCGCGATGACGTCACGGATAGGCAGACTGAATCGAGTAATGTTTAAAGCCTTTATCATTAAAAGTGCTAAGAAAAAACATCCATATAAAGTCTGACGTGCTTAAATCCAATGGGTTATTTCCTAGTATCGATACAATCGATTTATTACATTTTAAAACAATGTTAGATCGATATATGTTGTCCAAAAGGCCAACTCGCCGAGCACAGATCGATGTAGTTGGATCATAGGAATATAAATCGATACATCGATGTAGTAGATGGATCGTTACACCCCTAGTAGACATTTCTCACTAGGTAAGAGAGAGAGGAACCAAACGGCATTTAGTTTTGTTCCGTCTCTCAGTGCATGTTGTGTCTGACCTCTCTCTCCCTCCGTGCTGCATAGTGTTAATGGGAGAAATGGTTAAAATGATTAACTAAGGACCCGTTTGGGCCTTAGGTGGATGCTTACACTAGAGTGAAGTGGAAACTCTAGCGCTCGCTGGCAAACTAGTTGTGTTCTCGTTTTGATAAGATCTCAGCTTACAGTTATCCCTACTTTTATTATCTCCTTCCTTATCCTCTTAGTCTCTCCTGCCTTTTTCTTTGTCTCTTTCTACCTATCCACGCTACCTTGTTACACTGGTAATGACTCTGTGGCTGTCTCCACTCTCCTCTCTCTCTCCTTCCTCTTCCCTCCATCACTCTCTCTATTCTGATGACCATGGTTCAGTAGCAGTCAGGTTAGAGCTGTGTTCTGTCTCTGTCTCCTGCTGTCCAAACAGGTAGGCCCACCTGCTCTCTCTCTCTCTCTCTCTCTCTCTCTCTCTCTCTCTCTCTCTCTCTCTCTCTCTCTCTCTCTCTCTCTCTCTCTCCTTCCTCTCCCTCCATCCGTCTGTCTCTACCCAGATTATCGTGGTTCGGGAGCGGTCAGGTTAGGGCTGTGTTCTGTCTCTGTCTCCTGATGACTGAACAGGTAGGCCCACCAGCTGGGGGACTGTGTCATCTGTTTGGCTGCTCCAACACTCTTCAACTGCTTCATCTCCTATAGAGGTCAGGGGTTAGAGGTTAAGGATCAGGGGTTATGAGATAGAGGGTATGGTTAAAGGGTATGGGTAGGCGAGGGAGAAAAAGAAAGAAAGAAAGTAAGCAGGTTATTTTGGGGTTCTAGTAATTGAAATGTTTTTGACACAAGATTAAAGCATCACATCTATCCCCCTCCTTCGCTGTCCCCCATAGCCCCTCCTCCCCCCTTCCTCCCCCCTCTCTCCCCTAGCCAGTCCTCTCACCCCTTCCTGCCCCCCTCTCTAACCTCCTTCCTGCCCCCCTCTCTCCCCCTAACCCTTCTCACCCCTTCAACCCTCTGTCCCTCAGCAACCTCTCCTCACCCCTTTATCCAGCCACGTATCAAACTCGTCACTCATTCGTCGGAGCTGCCGTCCGTATCTCTTAGCCGCCCAGAGGGCAGGGGGGGCCGACTGGGAGCGAACCCGAAAAGGTGCTCCATCTGTGGGAATGCCGTCCACCCCTGGCCCCCTTCCCTGGAGCTCCCCATTCCTCTTCCCACGGGACGTAGAGAAGGCCTGGGACTCTGAATTCAACCTCAACCGACCCTCTCCTACAGGAGAGAGAGAATAGGGGGAGTGGAGCGAGAGGTATGTAAGCCTTGTCCGTCTGAGCCAGAACAGCCCATAGGGTAGGAGCCTATCTCCTGTTTGTGTAGCGTGAGGCAGCTTGATGTACAAGTACACCTACTGGACAGGATGCTACTCTATCGCAGGGCCTTAACCCCAATCTATCTCCTTTTTGCTGAGTGCTAAGCAGAGAGGTAGTGAAAGAGAGGGTAGAGAGGCAGGATCGAGAAAGGGAGGATAGCCATAGCAACAAGACAGTAGATTGTTATTGAGGTTCATTATGAAAGGCCAAGGTGGCTGACTATCAGCGTTTCTTATTGGACAAGTCCAGCTAGTCTCTCCCTGTTTCAGTCTGTTTTCTTTCGTTTGATGCCTATTGAACATGAACCTAGTAAGACCGATAGTGGCATCTCACCTGCCAGTCTCATCTCAGGTACAGTGAGGGTGTGGCCTAGTGGGCCTCCAGTCATTCCCTGTCCTGCAGCTGATTTGTCCTTTTCTGTTTCTCCTACCTCTGAGGGTTCTGATTTGCAGTCTGATATAGTGAACATCTGAGCAATGGTGACATCTAGAGAGAGAGAGGAAACGAGAAAGAGGAATGAGCGAGAGGGAAAAGAGAGAGACAGAGGTTGAGAGAGAAAGAGGGGGGAGAGGGAGAGAAATAGGAGGGAAGGAGAGAGGGGGAAGAGATGGAGGGAATGGGAAAGACGGGGGAAATAAGAGAGAGAGAGGACCAGAGATTGGGGGGAGAGATAGATAGATAGACAGGACCATAGAAGACAGAGACAAAAAGAAATAGCCTAGATAGAAAGAGAGGCAGAGAGAGAGAGAGCGGAGAGAGGGAGGGAAAGAGAGATAGAAGGCGAGAGGCAGAGAGAGAGAGAGCATTATTACACAAATGCACTTGACAGTAGACCCTGAATCGAGATAACTCAGCCTAGTCTCATAGACTAGATGCAACATAGTAAATGTAAATCCGGGACACTCAATTTAGTATGATATGTTACGTTTGGTATGGTTAAGGCAAAAACTAAAGTAAGGTGGTGATCAGGGTGGCCATATAACGGGAAAGTCTAGCAACCCAAAGGTTGCCTGTTCAAATCTCATTAAGGACAACTTTAGCATTTTAGCTAATTTGCAACTACTTTTTAGATACTTTGCAACTACTTAGCATGTTAGCTAACCCTTCCCCTAACCTTAACCCCTAACCTAGCTAACGTTAGCCACCTAGCTAACGTTAGCATTAGCCACCTAGCTAACATTGGCCACAACAAATTGTAATTTGTAACATAATACATTTTTCAAATTCATAACGTATTGTACGAACTGCAATTCGTAAAACAATCAAACAAATTGTAATTTGTAACATACCATATGAAATGAGTGATGGACATCCACAAATTAATACATACCATAAGAAACGTAACATATCATACTATACTGAACAAAAATATAAACGCAACATGTAAAGTGTTGGTCCCATGTTTCATGAGCTGAAATAAAATATCCCAGAAATGTTCCATACACACAAAAGGCTTATTTCTCTCAAATGTTGTACACAAATTTGTTTACATCCCTGTTAGTGAGCATTTCTCCTTTGCCAAGATAATCCATTCACCTGACAGGTGTGGCATATCAAGAAGCTGATTAAAGAGCATGATCATTACACAGGTGCACCCTGTGCTGGGGACAATAAAAGGCCACTCTAAAATGTGCAGTTTTGTCACACAACACAATGCCACAGATGTCTCAAGTTTTGAGGGAGTTAGCAATTGGCACGCTGACTGCAGGAATATCCACCAGAGCTGTTGCCAGAGAATGTAATATTCATTTCTCTACTATAAGCCGCCTCCAACATCGGTTTAGAGAATTTGGCAGTACGTCCAACCGACCTCAAAACCACAGACCACGTGTAACCAGGCCAGCCCAGGACCTCCACATCCGGCTTCTTTACCTGCGGGATTGTCTGAGACCAGCCTCCCGGACAGCTGATGAAACTGAGGAGTGTTACTGTCTGTAAGAAAGCCCTTTTGTGGGGAAAAACTCATTCTGATTGGCTGTGCCTGGCTCCCCAGTTGGTGGGCTATGCCCTTCCAGGCCCACCCATGGCTGCGCCCCTGCCCAGTTGTGAAATCCATAGATTAGGGCCTAATGAATTTATTTCACTTGACTGATTTCCTTATATGAACTGTAACTCTGTAAATTTGTTGAAATTGTTGCATGTTGCGTTTATATTTTTATTCAGTATAATTGGAGTGTCCCGGATTTATGTTTACTCTGTTAGGTCTGCCCCTGAGTCCAGGTTAACTCAGGGGGCTAACTCCGTTAGTTCAAATCCCAGCCAGTCACACACTGAATGAATGAGACAAACCTTTAACCTTGATTTCACCCTCACACACACACACACACACACACACACACACAGGAATAGACTGTCTTGGAAAAACACTATCTAGCCTACATGGGCAGTCATTTAGCCTAATTATATCAGAATAACATAGTAATAACAAATGATGCAACCAAACACGTTATTAATGTTTTAAAACGTATTGTGACTAAAACACAATAATTCAAACCTCAAACACATTGTCTCGTTTCAGGTTTGAATAACATTTCCCTGTCGATGGCCCAATAAACTTTATTTGTTTAGCTATAAAACACACAGACACAACTTCTTGTTCTTGCTCTATTCTCTCCAGCGCCTTGGTCCAAAGGTAGCATATCCACAGTCATTGGTAGCAACGTTACCAGATACCGCAATATAAAGTTATGTTTACCGCGGGGAGAAGCGGGGCCTAATGTGATAACACCGACATTGACAACTTGTTACTAAACACACCCAAATTAGCTTAAATGCTACTGTTGTATCGGGTGTTCTTCGCGATTGTTGTATCAATTCTAGCTAGAGACATTGGAAAACTTGGCGACAATACGAAACAATTTGATAACTTAAAAAACAGAATATAATAAAATGTTCTTACCCGAAGACTTTTGACAGGTAAAGCTTCTATTCTGGTTTCTTTCCACCTTGATATTGTTGTTGCCTGGTGTATTTTTCTGTACTGTACAATACAGTTTACTTCTCTCGCCCAATCGCTTCGCTGCAGTCTACCGCACCGATGTCGTGCGCTCCACCAATGGGCGGGCGGGCGCGCGGCTTGTTGGCCTTGCCGCGTACGTCACTGTTGCGTTAAGTTTTTCTCGCCCGCTCTACCGTAATATGTGGTATAGGAGCGCAAATGAACTATTCTACCAATACGTACAGGACGTTAGATCCAGGTAACTTTCAAAATAAAGCAAACACCAACATAAAGCATCTTAATAGGGCGTTGGGCCACCACGACTCGGAACAGCATCAATGCACCTTGGCATAGATTCTACAAGTGTTTGGAACTCTATCTGAGGGATGCGACACCATTCTTCCACTTTAAATTCCATCATTTGGTGTTTTGTTGACTGTGGTGAAAAACGCTTTATCAGGCACCGCTCCAGAATCTGCCATAAGTGTTCAATTGGGTTGAAATCTGGTGACTGAGATGGCCATGGCATATGGTTTACATCGTTTTCATGCTCATCAAACCATTCAGTGATCACTAATGCCCTGGGGATGGGGGCAGTTGCCACTAAGGGCATGTATACAGTATAACCCACACACCACCCAATGCAGAATTTTACTGGTCATTTCTCTTATCTGAAAAGATCTCTCTAGAAACCTTACTAGAGGGTTTTTTCTTACTTTTGTGGAATAAATGTTCTATTACCTATGACTGGTCCTGGCTTGCATCTTTGAGCATGAACTTCCTTATGACAGATACAATCTCTGTCTCTTAACCATTAACAGAAATGATGATGTCATACTGTGATTAAATTTGTATAGATAGAAAACCCCCAACTGCCAAACCCATGTTACCTAATATGTGTCTTCTAAACCCTATGGCCTTTCCTTTCACCTGTAGATAGGCATTCACACTGATAAAGACAGGTAGCGACAGACAGGGGCCAGGGAGAAGTGATTAATTTGAATCAAATCAAATCAAATTGTATTTGTCACATGCGCCGAATACAACCGGTGTAGACCTTACAGTGAAATGCTTACTTACAAGCCCTTAACCAACAATGCAGTTTTAAGAAAGAATACCTAAAAAAAGAAAGAAATAAACGTAACAAATAATTAAAGAGCAGCATTAATATAACAATAGCAAGGCTATATACAGGGGGTACCGGTACCGAGTCAATGTGCGGGGGCACCGGTTAGTCGAGGTAATTGAGGTAATATGTACATGTAGGTAGAGTTATTAACCCTCCCGTTGTCCTAGGGTCAAAATGACCCGCCACTGTGTTGAACCAACTTTATTAAATTTTTATATTTGTGGGATAATTTGTGAGAAGGAGGCAGTGAGACTTTAAAGAAAGTATCACTGCCTCCTTCTCACAAATGATCCAAAAAATATAAAAATTAAATAAAGTTGGTTCAACACAGTGGCGGGTCATTTTGACCCTAGGACAACGGGAGAGTTAAAGTGACTATGCATAGATAATAAACAGAGAGTAGCAGAAGCGTAAAACGCTTTTGTCTGGATAGCCATTTGATTAGATGTTCAGGAGTCTTATGGTGTGATGAGTGATTTAGAAGGAATCAGGCACAGGAGGGTAAATCACAGAATAACAGGATTTATTCCGCAAACACAAGGTTAAGCAGTAAAGCGTCAAAACACTCCAGTGCGCAAAACAGGCGCACTGGAAACTACAAGGCACATGGGCAATTATCCCGGTGATACAAAATACTAGGAGCTCCACCGAGCTTCACTAACCTCACAATAAACAATCACACACAAAGACAAGGGGGCAGAGGGAACACTTATACAGGTTATGATGAGGGCATATGAACCAGGTGTGTGTAATAAACAAGACAAAAGAAATGGAATGATGAGATGAGGAGCGGCAGTGGCTAGAGGGCCGGTGACGACGAACGCCGAAGCCTGCCTGAACAAGGAGAGGTGGCAGCTTCGGAGGAAGTTGTGACAGTACCCCCCCCCCTCCCCTTGACGCGCAGCTCCAGCAGCGCGCCGACACCGGAGCAGGGCGAGCCGGATGGCGACGGTGGAAATCCTGCAATAGGGAGGGATCGAGGATATCCCTCACCGGAACCCAGCACTGCTCCTCCGGACCATACCCCTCCCACTCCACGAGGTACTGAAGGCCCCCCACCCGACGCCTCAAATCCAGGATGGAACGGACGGAATACGCTGGGGCCCACTCAATGTCCAAAGGGGTTGGAGGAACCTCCCGCACCTCAGACTCCTAGAGCGGACCAGCCACCACTGGCCTGAGGAGACACATGGAAAGAGGGGTTAATACGCTAATCTGGAGGGAGTAATAACCTATATATAACCTTGTTTATCCTCCTCAGGACTTTGAACGGCCCCACAAACCGCAGGCTCAACTTCCGGCAGGGCAAGCGGAGGGGCAGATTCATGGTCGAGAGACAGACCCGATCACCAGGCAGCGCACTGTACGACCGATACCTGGGTGACCAGAGGAGGGGGACGTGTGTGCCCAAAAGATCAGATGGTCATGGACATGAGACGGCACGTACTGCAACCCAGCTGGACACTGAGGTGGAGATGGCTCTGTGCGAAACGCCCGCACTATGTCCGCGTCCATCGCCCACACTACCGGTGTCACAATGCAGGAGGCCGGGAGTATGGGGGTGTTGTCTATGGGACTCTCCTCTGTGTCGTACAGCCGTGACAGTGCGTCTGCCTTCACGTTATTCGTACCCGGGATGTAAGATAGTGTAAAAATAAACCGGGTGAAGAATAGGGCCCACCTGGCCTGGTAAGGGTTTGCAGTTGCAAACCGTAGTCTGTCTTTTTTATGGCGGTTTTGGATCAGTGGCTTCTTCCTTGCTGAGCGGCCTTTCAGGTTATGTCGATATAGGACACGTTTTACTGTGGATATAGATACTTTTGTACCTGTTTCCTCCAGCATCTTCACAAGGTCCTTTGCTGTTGTTCTGGGATTGATTTGCACTTTTTGCACCAAAGTACGTTCAACTCTAGGAGACAGAACGCGATTTCTTTTGATTTTCCCATTATGTCAAGCAAAGAGGCACTAAGTTTGAAGGTAGGTCTTGAAATGCATCCACAAGTGCACCTCCAATTGACACAAATTATGTCAATTAGCCTATCAGAAGCTTCTAAAGCCATGACATCATTTTCTGGAATTTTCCAAGCTGTTTAAAGGCACAGTCAACTTAGTGTATGTAAACTTCTGACCCACTGGAATTGTGATACAGTGAATTATAAGTGAAATAATGTGTCTGTAAACAATTGTTGGAAAAATTACTTGTGTCATGCACAAAGTAGATGTCCTAATCGACTTGCCAAAACTATAGGTTGTTAACAAGAGATTTGTGGAGTGGTTGAAAAACAAGTTTTAATGACTCCAACCTAAGTGTATGCAAACTTCGGACATCAATTGTACACGTAGGTAGGGGTAAAGTGACTATGCATAGATAATAAACAGCGAGTAGCAGCAGTGTAAAAAAAAGGGGGGGGGGTCAATGCAAATAGTCTGGGTAGCCATTTGATTAACTGTTCGGTAGTCTTATGGCTTGGGGGTAGAAGCTGTTAAGAAGCCTTTTGGACCTAGACTTGGCGCTCCGGTACCACTTGCCGTGTGATAGCAGAGAGAACAGTCTATGACTAGGGTGGCTGGAGTCTTTGGCAAATCTTACGGCCTTCCTCTGACTGCCTGGTATAGAGGTCCTGGATGGCAGAGGAAGCTCGGCCCCAGTGATGTATTGGTCCGTATGCACTACCCTCTGTAGAGCCTTGCGGTCGGAGGCCGAGCAGTTGCCATACCAGGTGGAGATGCAACCAGTCAGGATGCTCTCGATGGTGCATCACTCCAGAGAACGAGTTTCCAATGGAGGAGAGCTTTACACCACTCCAGCCGACCCGTGGCATTGCTTGTGTGTGGCTGCTCTGCCACGGAAATCCATTTCATGAAGCTCCCGACAAACAGTTTTTGTGCTGACGTTGCTTCCAGAGGCAGTTTGGAACTCGGTAGTGAGTGTTGCAACCAAGGACAGATGATCTTAACACGCTACGTGCTTCAGCACTCGGTGGTCGCGTTCTGTGAGCTTGTGTGGCCTACCACTTCGCGGCTGAGCCGTTGTTGCTCCTAGACATTTCCACTTCACAATAACAGCACTTACAGTTGACCGGGGCAGCTCTAGTAGGGCAGAAATTTGACGAACTGACATGTTGGAAAGATGGCATCCTATGACGGTGCCACGTTGAAAGTCACTGAGCTCTTCAGTAAGGCCATTCTACTGCCAATGTTTGTCTTTGGAGATTGCATGGCTATGTGCTCAATTTTATACACCTGTCAGCAACGGGTGTGGCTGAAATAGCCAAATCCACAAATTTGAAGGGTTGTCCAAATACCTTTAAATATATTGAACAAAAATATAAATACAACATGCAACAATTACAACGATTTTACTCAGTTACAGTTCATATCAGGAAATCAGTCAATTTAAATACATTAATTTGGCCCTAATCTATGGATTTCACATGACTGGGCAGGGGCGCAGCCATGGGGAGCCATGCCCAGCCAATCAGAAAGAGTTTTCCCACACAAACAGCCTTTATTACAGACATAAATACTCCTCAGTTTCATCAGCTGTCTGGGTGGCTGGTCTCAGACGATCCCTATGACTAGGGTGGCTGGAGTCTTTGACAATTTTGAGGGCCTTCCTCTGACACCGGCTGGTATAGAGGTCCTGGATGGCAGGAAGCTTGGCCCCAGTGATGTACTGGGCCGTACGCACTACCCTCTGTAGTGCCTTGCGGTCAGAAGCCAAGCAGTTGCCATACCAGGCGGTGATGCAACCAGTCAGGATGATCTCGATGGTGCAGCTGTAGAATTTTTTGAGGATCTGAGGACCCATGCCGAATCTTTTCAGTCTCCTGAAGGGTAATAGGCTTTGTCGTGCCCTCTTCACGACTGTATTGGTGTGTTTGGACCATGATAGTTCGTTGGTGATGTGGACACCAAGGAACTTGAAGCTCTCAACCTGTTCCACTACAGCCCCGTCGATGAGAATGGGGGCGTGCTCA